AGTGAACTCTTCTATTTTAATATTTATCCTATTACGTCCTTCTGACGTTGCGTTCGGTGAAGTGTTTTTCATATTCCGTGTCTTGTTTAATGAAAATTTCGTTAAGGGTCTAATTTGAGTTACCGAAGGCTAGTTCAAATAGAGAAAGCTGTATTTTCTCCCCACTGTTCCTTCAATTGCTTACACGCCGAGGTGGCGGGATAGTTAGCAAGTTCTACTTGTAAGTGGGTTTGTAATGAGGTCGCGGATTTTACAGCTACTGCGTCGGACCCAATTAGATGAAGTCCGAATGCGTAAACGTCGGTGAGGTAACCTTTGAGTGCACATAAAGAAACCATTCCTGGTAGAAATCCCTGAGCCTTACACTACGATGTATCCTGTTTCGTATGTGCTGATTTCAGATGTTTTATTTGTAATTTATTTTGATGTTGCAATTTGTCATTTATAATTTCCGAACCGGTTCGCGAACCGGTTCAGCACCCCGAACCGGTTCGCGGATCGAATTAATCGAACCGGAACTGAACCGGAACAAAATAAATTTACCCGAACCTGAACCGTAACCGAACCCGTATTTTTTTCGGTTCGACACACTGGCGACAAAGGACAAACACAAATCTCCAAACACAGCTAGGTGACTGGTGCGCGACCGAAAAAATCCGCCTGGTCCGGGTATCAAACCCGGGACCTCTTCATTACAGGCAGTCTTGTGCACGTTACTAAGAAAAAGTAATCGATTACAATTACTATTACTCTTGGCTAAAAAGTATTCGATTAGATTACTTGATTACTCGACGGCAAAAGTAATTGGAGATTACTTAAAGAAGTAATCGTTACTTTTCCGATTACTTTATTGTGTGAAGACACATCTTTAGCGCTCATAACAATGAACTACTTCCAACCTACATTTCACATTTGCACAAGTATTGAAGAAGAAAAACTGGCTCCCTCTTCATGGTCGTTGCACCTTCACAATGCTGACGCAAGCATAGAAATCGTTTGAAGACGTTTAATGATTTGGGCGCTTGCCAATCTGTGTTTGTAAGGGGGGAGGGGGAAAGGGAGAGCGGAGGGGGTTCTAGATCTTGTTAAGCTTGAGCAAGAATTGTCGCTCAACGTTTGCGTCGCTCATTTTATTATTCACGCGTGGATGAACTCGAATGTTATACAAAAGAGCAGCAGCTCCAGGATTTGAAACGGATAATGTGTAGTATCCATTAACGGAAGAGATCGCCCCGACCACTTCTCAACTCGAAACATTGCTTGTCACAAAGACCAAGTAGGGGAAATGTGGAAATATTTCAACTTCCTTTGTTATATTTTGCATCCGTTTAGGCATTCTTCGGTTCTGGTTCTCCTACGGGCTGCCAGTAGGTACCCTAAGCAGGATTTTTTTTTATTTTTTTTTATTTCTTTGTGTGTGTGTGTGCGTGGAGGGGGCTAGTTTGAACGAAGGACTCACAAAGCTACATTCTGCTTCCTCAAACTTCGTCCTGAATGGCCTTTGTCACGCACTGTGGCTTCGGACATTCCAGAGAAACTGTACATAGAAAGAGATTTACCTCGTTTCCTACATTTTATTTTTGTCATTTCATAAAAAAAAGGCGTGTGCCCCGGGGGGGGGGGGGGGGGGGGGGGGGGGTCCCGTGGTCAAATTGTAACGGTTACAAGTAATTTTATTACTTCAAAAAGTAATCAGATTACTGTTGTGATTACTGCCTAATAAAAGTAATCAACTGATTACAAAATTACTCCAAAAAGTAATCGATTACAAGTAATTTGATTACTTGTAATGCGTACGGTACAAGTCTGATTACAGGTGGAGCGCTCTAAGAAGTAGCTGTGATTGGAGATTTGTGTTTGTCCTTTGTCCCCTTTGTTCCCCTTCTCCAGGGATTATTATTGTCTTTCCTGTCCAGCTCGCTTGCACCTTTGCAGTAATTGCATTATAATCATAACCTTAAAATGCAGGCCGTTCATCCTTCTTGGAGTTCGACTGGTGGCAGATGATAAAACCCGTTTGCTCTACTGACGTCTAACCCCTGGTTAGCTCAGTTGGTAGAGCGCTCCACAGGAAATGAAGAGGTCCCTGGTTCGATACCAGGACCAGGCGGAATTTTTCGCTCGCACACCAGTCACCTAGCTGTGTGTGTCTTTTGTCCCCTTTGCTCTCTTTCTCCAGGGATTATTATTCATTCTTGTCTAGCTCGCTTACACCTTTGCGTTAATTGCATTATAAGCGCAAGAAAAACATACAGGGCGTCACAAAAGAAGATTTACAGGGCTTTTATTTCCGCACAAATAAACTAGGCATCGCCGAACCCTCATTCTCTGCCCAAAGGGTGCGGTAGAGGTCCCAACCAGGTGCCAAAGTTTCTGCCAGATCCAATAACTTAATCAAAAGTTATAAGTGATTTTCTAAAAATTTCATTGGGAAAATGGTGGCCGACGGAGTTTTCGAATACGGGGCTCTATGGCACCAGAAACCGAAAACGGGCAAAAATGAGCTCCATTTTCCCATTGAAATTTTCAGAAAATCACTTATGACTTTTGATTAAAGGGGTTATGACACGCCAAAAATAAAATATTACATAACTATGCTGGTAGGACCCGTTGTATGTTCCTATAATCCTGCCAAATTTGTTTTGAAAAAGGCGCGATAATTTCGTGGATAAATCGATTTATATGCGGGCCCCTCGGAGGGGCAGATCCGGGCGGACCTGGAGGCTGATGACGTAGCCAGCCTCCACCGTGGTGTCTACTTGCACGCACTCACAGACTCGGCTCTCTTGGCATATCAACTCTCAGCTTCCTCGTTTACCTTCCACGTTTCCAGCATCCGGTCTGTGACGATTAGGTCTACGGCATCGATCGCCTTGTCGAAGTGTTCGACATTTATTGCAGCAGCGATGAATGTCGAACATCCCTTGATTGCTATCAAGGGATGTTGGAAGCTGTTCATTTTGACTGCGACCCGTTGGCGACGAGCTCCAGCGACGACGAGTTCGGCGTGGTCACCGTCGTCCGGGAATATCTCGCAGGCGCATGCAGGGTGGAAGGTCAACTGGCCGGGGGGCGAGAGCGAGAATAGCTTTCAGTTTACCGAGCTGTTTGAGCGGTTTAGTTCGTACCGCGACGAGAAGAGCTTGGGCGATCATGGGGGCGCCTAGAATGAGAGAGTGTTCATGGTCACGTGGTTTATGGGCACCATGGTGTGACTAACTTGAGCAGTGTTGCCTGGCCGCCAGATGAAAATTATAAAAATTCGTAAATTGAATATTGCAATTATCAGAGCTCTAAAAATTGCGTAACTTGGTGTATATACTAAGTAGCCTATGGGCATTCCATTTCAAGAATAATCTATCCGTTTAATTTTCGTGTCATAACCCCTTAAGTTATCGGATCGGGCTGAAACTTCGGCATCTGGTTGTGACCTCTAGCGCTACCTTTGGGTGGAGAATGAGCGTTTGGCAATGCCTAGTTTAATTTCGCGGTAAAAAAAAAAAAAAAAAAAAAAAAAAAAAACTATAAATTTTTTTTTGTGACACTTTGTATATGCTTTAGCAACAAAACGCCCATGTCACGTACGCACATCGTCCTGTATAATCTCATCTATCTTGGCCTATCAAAGGACGGTAAATACGCCTCTTCTCAATAATAGATCGGAATTGATGGGGCGCCAGCGCATGTATTGTGACCGCACTTTTTCTATAAATTACGCTTTTGAAATTTCCTTTGTCCTTTTGTTTTAGTTCCGGCTCAATATAATTGTTTTCTTAAAGTTTGGGACACAATCGCATCTATTGTAGTGCCCTGCCAGATTACATGCGAGCGACGATCTAATTGCCAGTGCGTGCTGTCTTAATCAATCATTTATGCGGCTTCCGGACTGTCCTACGTAAACCCTCTCACAAGTTAAAGGTATTCTATATACCACGAAGGGGTTGTATATAAAAACCCTTTAACTAAGTGTTGGCTGCGTATGGCGAGAAAAAGTGCAGCCGCAAGATGAAGAACCCTGTTTGAAAGGCAAAGCGAGTTCTGGAACGCTCTAAGAAACAAAGAAAGCAAAAAATTGGTTGGCAACTGCCTTTCTAAAAGAAACCATTCGCGTACAACTTGTTTTACTGTGATATGATCTAATAGTATAGAATCGCTTTGCAGATATGTCTCTTTCGGTGACCGATTTTGTGTATGGTTAACATACAAAGAACTAAACGCCGAGTTGTCAATAAGGCGTTCAAGAAAGGCTGAAACTATAAAGTGGCAACCTGTGCTTATGAACATCTAGTGAGTGTAGCGAGGTTGCTCTTATTAGAGTTTCACAGAGCTATATTGTCCGACGCCTATATTATTAAGAACTTTGTTTACTACAGTAGTGACATCCTTACGACATTTGAGTTGTCTAGATGGGACAAAAATACGCCCCCCATATCGGACGAGTCCTTTCATGTGGTGAAAATAGCTCAGCATGTTAAAAAAATGTATACCTCTATGCCAACGAGAAAAAATGTTTATACTGCCTCCACGCGGAAGTGTTAACGTGCTATGTTTTATCATTTCTTGCGTGGCAGATTACTTTAGCATTTCTTGCTTTAGGTAGCTTTAATGTACCCGTGGTAATACTGAAACACATATCTGTGGTAGAGATGTTCACAAAAAGAAGACAAGAAATAAAGTGCGAACTTTGAATTTATGTAAACTAACATATGGATTTCATTTCATGGACGGAAATAAGTTTTATTGCAAAGCGGTTCAGCAAAGCATTGGCACAGCTGCATAGTTGTTTTAAACACATGGTTGCTAGACATATCCCAGAATGAAAAGATTTGGTTCATTCCAAAGAAATCAAATATGGTTTTAAATAGAGCTGATGAAGTGAGCCCCTCAAAATCGAAGACCGACTATTAACAACTCCCTAATATATTTTCTCGTTTCAGCAGCAAAAAAAGACCTGGTACGAGGACGTTATAAAATGTGACATTCTGTTTCTGTGAAGAAAGCAACTTCCTTTCGAGACCAAGCGTACACATAAAGGAACCTCGCAGACATCGACATGGCCATTTGTGGCTTTTCCAGGTTGCGTACAAGACAGGGGTGTGTGCGCAGTCTCGTAGGAATTATCATATTTGCCCTGGTGTACGTGACAACCATCTGCTTTATGCAAAATCGGACCGTATGGTTTGCAAATTATGGGCACAAATTCCATATGGTGCCTAAGCAGACCGTCAATCCCCTGAGCACTAGAGATCCTGACCTCCGTTGGGATGGACAAGTCGAAGACTTCATCTACCCCGACAATGCCATCTACATCGTACCAAACATTGTCCACTTCATCAAGTTCGGAGACGATCCTTTGTCTTTCATCGAAGTCATCTGCATCAGGGCGGCCTGGTTGCAGCAACGACCGGACGCCTTGATGATTCACTGTGACCACTGCAACGCCATCGTCGAGAGTCCCCTATGGTACCTCATCGAAGGCGTGCCCACGCTACAGCTGGAACTCACAGAGAGGCCCACGGAGGTCTTCGGGATCCCGTTCAGCTGCGTTCAGCACGCTGCAGACGTGGCCAGGGCTCTCATCCTGATGAACTATGGCGGAATCTACCTGGACAGCGATTCGTACCTGGTGAAGAGTCTGAACCCTTACCGCAGTTACGAGATGTCAATAGGGTGGCCTCCGGGAGAAAATGTCGGAATTCAAGTACTCGTGGCGCACAAGGATGCCCGGTACCTGAGACTCTGGTACGAGTCCTACCGTGCTTACCGTCCTGATCTATGGTATTGGAACGCGGGCGAGCTGCCGACAAAGAAGTTCCTCAGCATTAGGCCGGATCTTGTAAACCGGGTTAGGTACGACTTTGGCGTTGCGGAGGAGGCCACACTGACGCTCTACGACCAGTGCGACGATAGTTGGGGGAACTACTCGTCCTTCCACACGTTCTTCAGGCACATATTTCGCTACGTTCCTTCAGAGCCCGAGCGCTTCGGGCCGCTGACCCTGGACACCGTGCCCTACTACGACAGGAACTTTGGCCAGATGGCGCGACTGGTGCTCTTCGGTACCACGCGACTTGGAGCCAACGAGTTGAGGAGCGTCGACTGGCTGTCGAGGCACGGTTTAGAGTATTCCGAGCACGGATGCGTGCAGGCAGACGAAGAGAGCTAACGGAAGTTTAAGATGTGGAAGGTTTGAAAATTTTTAAGTGGTCTATAGACGTTTGCAAGCACGGACTCTGGCCGCCGCCATCTTGCTGCTGGTGTGGATAGATCGTCTGACAGTCAAGCATTGCTGAGGCGTACCCATGGCCTCATCAATGCTTGACAATGAGAAGATCTGCCTACACCAGCAGGAAGATGTACGCCTCAGCAATGTTTGACTATCATACGATCTACCCACTCCAGCAGCAAGATGGCGGCGCACAGGGGCCGTACTTGCCAACGTCTATAGTCGTAGGCATTTTAAGAAACACAGGGCGGGGCGAGTCCTGAGAATTTAATTATTGCTTCTCAGCCGATAAGGTTGGGGCATTAGACCATAATACAGCCAAAAAATGAATCACGAATCAAAAAGCAAGGATATAATAAACCACGCCCTGCGTTTCCCTTAAGCTGTCGGTGAGCCAAGCGAAAAATGCTGAGTCACTGAGCTGTGGGCGCATGCACGGCGTCTCCCTTTACGTGGAAAAGGGCTACTGCGCAAGCCCAGAGCGCCTTCAACAGCGCAGTGAACAATAGATGGCAGCCCGCACGCAGAAGGCAATTTCTGAAAAAGTCTATATCTCGTGTCAGCTTAAGTCCAAACGCTACCGACGCTACAAGGTACTGGGACCAATCGAGCAACGTCAAAAGCGCAAGTCACTGTGCCGTTTATGTTTATGATTGGTTCATCGATCATAGAACACTACAGAAACATGACGAACAACACGAGGGTGCGCTTTTGACGCTGTCTAGTTGTCACGTCAGCTCGTGGCGTCGTCTGCGTCTGGGCATAACGTGAAAAGAAGTATAGCCATGGTGCCTGGAACGCCTCTCTGGTGTTGACTCCAGTGTATTCGGTTTGTCCCCCGGATTTCCAGCTAGTGACGTCATAGCCTTGTCATTCTGGGCATCATCACGATCCGGATTTTGGCTGACACAACCGAGAGATCAAGGACTGTGCGCTTGGTATATTTTACATCGTCTACTCCCTTTAAAAATAATTTTTGACTTTTTATTGAAAACGTATTGACTTTCTATTAGCTTCACGTTTATTTTTTTCCTGCTGACTTCCTGTTGACAGTGTCATCAAAAAGAGCGCGCATGTTCTACTTCGTCGTAGAAATGTTCAGTTGATTCTCTGTATAGCCAGTGTCATTAGAAAAGCTACAGATTGAAGTGAGCTAGTTGGTTCATATTCTTGGGTGGTGCCAGCTCAACACTAATAAACAGAAATATAGACTACCCGCGGTTGTCTATTTTCGTGTTTTTTAGTTTTCAGCTGGCACCACCCAAGAAAAGCTACAGACTTTCTGTTGACTTTTTATTGAACGCTGTACATATATTGACTAGATGTCAAAAGTCACTAAGGTTCTCAACAGTCTGTGACAAGGTGAGAGGGAGGAGCTTCAGTTGTTCCGCCTCCAGCGCGAACTTTATTTATACCCTTCAAAATGCTTCGGCGTCTTGCGCACCGTGAGCGCGCTGTCAAAGCACGACGGAAGGCATGGGGCGCTTGCTGGAGTCCAGGCGTTCGAAAGACACGCCATGCCGTTCTCACTTTGTTAGTGAATATAGTCACTTTATTGACCCTATTCAGCTATTCCACTAGTAAAGAAAAATAAATAACTTTTAAAGTGGAGCAACTGCCTTGACTAGCTTCGTTCTGAGTGGTGCTACGCATAGAAGCGATGGCATTTCTTCTAAAAGCCGTTTTTGTGAATGTTGTTTTAGCGACTGCGTCGAATTATTATCAGTTGTGCCCATGAGTTTTAGTATGAGTTTTAGTAATTCCCTAACAAAATAACAATAAAAAAATTGCGTGCCTTTTTTTTTTTACGTTATTCTGCGGCCACCTATTTGGAGCAGAGTGGAAAGCCGTAGTATAAGCCTCCAAACTTTTGTTGAGTAAATAGTTAAGGTGTAAAGCATTTTCTTGTAATTTTTCAACTGCTGTAGTGTTTTAATTGAGACGCTGTGCCTTTCACTTGAAAAGCGACATGAAAATCGCCTGCGAGGCGACGAATGTCTGATATTTTAAAAAATCTGCTAATATTCAAAAGACAGTCAGCAGAAAAGCTAGAGAAAGTAAGATGCAAAACTGTTGATTTTTTTATCCTCTGATGACTTTTTTTAACGGCATTTTTCTTTTGTAAGGGTTTCTCTATCGAGCGCGGTGGACAGGTTGGACACGAGTGCTGTGACCGCGTTCGCCTTGGACTTATTTTTCGACGGTTTTTTACTGATTGAACACGAGTCTGAGCTGAATGCTGTTTCAGAAGTCGTGTTCCTTTTGTGCCTGTGTTTGATCAAAGTAAAAAGTTCAATGCTCAGGTCTCACTGTCTAGAGGTCATTGCGGTAGTATTATGAGTAGCCAATCATTTAGTAGCTAATGATTAGGTTAAAGCATCATTCCGGTTGATTGTTTGCCATCTGCACTGTAATTAATTTCAGAACACCGAAACTAGTTGGCTCGAATCGAAGGATAGTGGGTAGGCATCAAGGCAGCTTGCTTTGAGCTCGGCGTTCATTCGTCACCACAACCCCTGCGAAAAAAGCAGACGAATTTCCGCTCCGTATAAATCTGGAGCGTCTACTTTCCTGCAAAGCAATTGGTAGAGTCAATTGATTGCTGCACTCTACGGAGAATACTCGGTGAATTGCGGGGCTGATAGCACGTTTAAAACCTAAAAAGAAGATTCTGTCTGCGCTCCGACACTGACCAGGACGTTTCAACACGTGCTCAGTGCGACGGCTGAGACCGATTTTGGGGGGAATAAACGTGTTATGACTCATGAGCCCCGTCATTCGCCGAGAAAAGTCCGTAGACTGCAGCGATTGGCTCTCCCAATTGCTGTGCGGGAGAGCAGACGCTCCAGACTTATTAGAGTGTGGGCTCGGACGCTAACGGACGCGTTTCTAAAAGTCAAGGTCTTATTTAAGATTGCATTTCTGTCTAAGACTGTGTGGGACGGTTCTCAATTTTGAGTCTGCGGATGACGTGAGCGTCTTGGATTTTCTGGAAGCTTCTTTCGAGGATTTTGATTTGATTTATAAGGCCCGTGCCGGCACTCAAGCTTTGCGGAACCACTTTTCGGATTTGACGGCTTTTTGTATTCGACAGTTTGTTTTCAAAAATACAACACCTATTAAGAAGAACCCTTGAATTACAAGAGATGCCATTCCTGCGAAGAGAAAAATAGGTCGTCCCCGAAAGGGCATGTGCACAAAGTTCAGATGATAATTAAAAGACAAGTATTGAACAAATAAGTGCGAATTTAAAACAAGTTGCCGTCACCTCGAAGGCAACATTTTACAAAGTCGGACTGATAAATGTTTCTCAGTTTGATCGTAGGTTTGAAAATAATCCGACACGAGCTGATAATTTAAACTCCATTTTCTCGTCGGTATTCACTGAAGACGACGAACTTGTGCTGATGATCAATGACTTAACTAATTACCTCCTAATCGGTAATATGGAAATTAATAAAAAAAGATCCCTAAACGTTTTGCTTATTAATATAGTTATAAAAAATCCCGGTTGCGACGGGATCCCGAATGCATTTTTAAGAAGATACTGTGGTTGGGCGACCAAGTATTTAATTAATTTTCCAGTTGTCTCTCTGTAAAGGGTGAACAGCAACTGCATAGAAATTCTCTGAAATGATTCCAATTCCCTAAAACGGCTTTAGTTTTAATGTAGAAATTATCCTCCCATATGACTTATTAGCACATGCTCCAAATCGCTTACATACATTGTACCAAACATTTTTAGCTTTTCTAGATGACCACAACCTATTATGTAAATTACTAAATTTACATAATAGGTCGTGTAAATGTTATATAAAAAGTAAAAGCTTCGACATATACGTTCTTAAATAAATCCAATTAAACATGTATTGCGGGCGAGTTTACCATATTTAGCGCACATATTCAATTTAGCACATCAGTATAAAACCTTTTAAAAAAATGCAGATAGCAAAGGTGACGGTAATATGTAAAACCTGCGATAAGAATGACTGAGGAAATAATCGACCTATTTCGGTTTTACCAATATTTTCCAAGGGGTTGGAGAAACTCATGCATCTAGGGCTTAGTAATTTTTGTGAGAAGGTTTCAATCATCACGCCCTGTCAATAGGAACTGAAGAAAGATCGCTCGACTGAGCTTGCACTTTTAAAACAAAAACTAATTTTAGGCAACATCGAAGCAAAGCTGGTAACTCTCGAAATATTTATTGCTTTCACAAAAGCCTTCGACCGCATAAATCATAGAACAATACTTACAAAGCTGTACCTTTGTGGTGTTCGTGGGGTCGCTTTACAGAGGATTAGATGTTATCTTCAGAACCGCCATCAGTGATTTGAAATAAGTAAAAAAGAATCAAATTTCAGGCCACTAACCGCCGGAGTACCGCAGGGCAGTATTTAGGGGTCCACTTCTTTTAAACTTGTAAATTAATGATCTAGTAAACACTGAGGATAATGTGAACTGCATTATTTATGCGGACGGTACGAGTATATTTTTACGGTGTTAACATAGACAAAATTATAAGTAATGCGAACCATTATCTTAATTTGGGCATCATCAAATTTCCTACAAATGAACGTAAGTACAACAAAGACTGTGGTATTTATATCTCGAGATCTCGAAACACAAATTGTAGTCCCAGGTCTGTACTTTTGCTTGGTACAGACGATATTGATATAGTGGAGAGCGTGAAAGTCCTATGGGTAATCTTTAATCAGTACATGACTTGGAACGATATGATGCAATTCACATGTAAAAAGGTATCGAAGGCTATGGGATCCTAGATTTATGCTTAACCCATGGGCTAAAACAGGTTGTTCGATAGTATACACGTATTCAAAGCAATAGTGAGTCAGTTCTCGATCTCATATTTTTAAGCGAAGGGGTTGCATCTCGGCCGTACAAAGTTGAACTCTTCCCCGAATTTTCAGATCACCTGATAGTAAGCGTGACCAGACCTTGACTCCGTTTAGGAAAACGCCCAGACCCGTTTCGTCCTACAGAGGATTCGGCATGGCTGATGACACGGC